CAGAAATCCTGCCTATCTCTCCTACCTAGCTATCATGGCATAACCTTTCGTCCATCTTCCAGCTCCAGTGTCCTGTCAGTGTCTAACTGGTGACTTTGCCTTTCTTCTTCATAGAGTTCTTTCTCTGCCCTGATGTCCCACCTATACCTCCTGCCATCTCTTGGCCATTCAGACTTTAATTACACAAATCAAAGCAAAACTTTGTCACACAGTGTAAAAATATCCCACAACAAAACTGATACCTACACATGAAACAATAAACCTGTGAATAAATGTAGGAATTAAACTATTTTAGCGTTAATGTGGACATCAGACAACAATACAAAGTATTTGCAGAATGTGTTTACAGATATAGCACAGAGCAACAGCAGTCTTGGAGCCCTGACCCTACCTCAGACACCATAAAGGAAAAAGTCCCCCTGCAATGATCCTTCCCAAGGATAGGTTAAGGCACTGAAAAATGTTAGCCTCCTTTCTTGAATAAAGGACTGTCTGAATTTTGGGAACCTTCATTTTGGGGAAGTTTTCAGTTCTGATTTTCAGGTCCAGATTTTGATGACCTTCACAGTTTAGATGCAATGTATTAACCATATGCAAAACATGAGAGCAGAGAGGGGCCGTTTAACCACAACATTTATATAACCAAATCCCTCTTGCATGCCAACTACATTGTAAAACTGTCTGAAGGTTAATTCTTTCTTGTACATCCAAATCACAGAAATCATGAGCTTATAAATATGGTGATAATGACACTGATATTAGACAATCAGGATGGTGCCGAGGCTCAGAGTTGAGATGCTAATAACACTATTTTGGAATAGACGTTTGTGATTGAACAGGCATTAAATAAAACTCAGCCTTTAAAAAACCAGAAGGATTCTGAACAATAAAAGAGGAACACAAGAGAAAAAGAGAATGCTGAGAATTTGTTCCTAGGTTAGACATGTATGGTGATAGGAAAAGAGCAATCAATCTATGAGGGATTATTATTTAGCAGAATAGAATCAAATCAAAGCTGTGAGCACAGAACATTTCTTTCTCCATTTCCATACATGTCTTCTCTATGTTCATACAGGAGAAATAAAAGACCATGTGCTCAGTGTGTTCCTTTTTTTCTCTATGATCCCAGCAGCATCAGCCTGTATCTTTCTTTGTTGTAGAACACTGCTCTCCACCATGGCAATACTCTGGTCCTATTGAAGTCTCTGTAGCTGTTACTACACACAAGTGACCTGTAAAACATTGGTCCCATCAGTGTTCTTTCTTGTTTTTGAACAAGAAAGAATCAGAACTATAGGCAGTTAAAATTTGTAGGCAAAGATTTTTTTTAAGGACAAAAATCACTAAGTTGTTTCCGCTATTTTTGGCTATAGTGGAACACACTGTTCTCAACAATTGGGTGTGAGAATGGTTGTTACAGCTAGTGTGGTCTACAGAGTGAGTTCCAGTACAGCTGGAGCTCATAGTAACACTCTGTCTAAACAAACAATCAAATAAACAAATAAACAAAACACAAAAATCACAAGATTATAGACATTTTTATACAAAGCCCTAATATAACTCATTGTCTCACCAGCTAGATTTTATGGAGTCTTGTCTCTGTTTCTGTTACCATTGTTTCATGTGGCTGGTGTTGGCATTGTTCTTGTATCTCTAGGTAATATTCATACAACATCCCAAAGCATCTTGCAGGCATGCTAGGAAACCAACCATGAGATTGGTGTGTATGAAAGAGTAAAGGAGGAGAACCAAGAGCTAAGAGAAAAAACAACCACCGTATCCCTCAAGTAAAGGAGCTGTGTCAGGAAACCATCAGGCTTATGGTGTGTTAATTCCTGGTCTGTGGTAACTGAGAGCATTTAGACAGATGCAGGTGTTTAATGTGGAGATGTGCTGCAGGAAGAGGCCACAGTCAGACTTGGGTTTGTAATATAGTACACAGAATGCTGAGAAAGAAGAATGAATCTGAGACCACCATGAGGTTTAAGAAGTTCTGTCTCAGAAACACACACACACACACACAAACCCAAAAACTAAAGAACCACAGAGAGACAGAAACCACAAAATCTTTAGCCCAACCCATCATAGCCCAGGAAGGAAAGAGTCAGGCAGCTGGTTAGAAGAGTTCCTCTTCTTCAGGGGCTTCCAGTATGACATTCGCATGACGGAAATCAGACACCAGTTTGCAAAGGCCACACAATTTGTGTTTGTGTGTTTGGAAAGGAGATCATCTATCTGCAAACTGTGGCAACTGGAAGATGCCATGACCCCATTTCTTATAGTGCTGCTGTTTCTTGGTGAGATACCATATGGGGAGGGAGAAATATTCTCTGAGAAGGAATCCACTTCACAATCATGATTTGGGCCTTTGGGATGTCTGAGCAGCTCCGGAAGGCACCTGGAAGTGTAGGTCCTGCTCATGGTTTAGTGTAAACACTCACAGCTCACTCTCTTCCAGGACTAAGCCCAAACCTCTGGAACCCAGCTTCAGCAGGTAAGTGTTTTCCCAGCTGTCCTAGTTTGGACATTTTTGTGGGGGATCAAGGGGAACTCATGAGCAGAGCAGATGGAGAACAGCTGGTTTGGCCTGATGTTGGGGATGCCTAAAAGGTTCTGGGTCAGAAGACTGTATCAGAAATGGATTTCTGGGGAAAGAATTGTCAATTTCTTTCAGGGGCCATCTCTAAACCTACACTGAGAGCAGAGCCAGGAAATGTGGTAGCCACTGGGAAGCAGGTGGCATTCTTCTGTGAAGGGCCCTCAGAGGCCAAAGAATATCGTCTCTACAAAGTAGGAAGTCAAGACTACCTGATACCAACAGCCCTTCTAGAAACTGAGAATAAGGCCAAGTTTTCTATGTCTTCAGTTCAATGGAACAATGCAGGCCAATATTGGTGTTCTTATACAAGCACCAGTGGCTCATTAGAAAAAAGTGACACCCTAGAGCTGGTGGTGACAGGTAACAGAACCCTCTCTCAGCTCCTGGATTTGCCTTAAGTGGGCTCCTTTCTCAAATATGAGAAGTGGGGAACATGTTTCTCATATAAGTTCTCCTAACAGCCCTCCTCTGCTCTGCTAGGAGTTAACCTCAGCAGTGTCGCTCTGTCAGCCATTCCCAGCCCTGTGGTGACTGCAGGGGAGCGAGTTACCCTTCAGTGTCAGTCACAACAACCGTACAGTATGTTCATTCTAATGAAGGACGGTGAGAAGCTCTCGAGTCCTGAACCCTCACGGAAAATATCCTCTGACATATTTAGAGCCACGTTCTTGGTGGATCCTGTGACCCCCAACAAGAGGTGGAGGTTCTCATGCTATGGTTATTCCTTGAGCAGCCCTCAGCTGTGGTCGGTTCCCAGTAACCAACTGGAGCTCCTGGTATCAGGTAAGGAAGTGCAGTACGTTCTTTTGGGTATAATTGCAACTGACACAGGGTCCCTGGAAAATACCTGATTTGTGCTGGGTGATTGACAACCAGGGCTACTGGACTCAATGTCACAGAATTTCTGATACAGCTGGTCATCATGAGTGATACTAATAATGAAATCGAAGATCCATGGAAATGTGTGGTCTTTATGTGTACTCCTGCTATTGCAGATCAGCTTATGTGTCAGGGGCAATTGTGACCTTCTCTGTGACATTTTAGTGACAGATGCACCTACTTTCTTCCTACTTCTTTGCAGGGACCCTTCCCAAGCCCACCATATGGGCTGAACCAGGCGCTGTGATCACCTCAGGGACTTATGTTACCATCTGGTGTAAGGCAACAGTACCAACCCTAATCTATGTGATATATAAAGAGGGAAGCCCAGATCCTTGGGACCAACAGAACCAAATAGTCTACAATAATAATGCAAAACTCACCATTTCCTCTATGACAGAATTGAATGCAGGGAGATATCACTGCTACTCCTACACCTCTACTGGATGGACAGAACGCAGTAACACCTTAGAGATGGTGGTGACAGGTGAGAGAAACTAAAAAATCCTTGACCCAGTAGTCACTCTCAAGTACCGACTGCTGTAGCACTATTTCCCATAGAAAAAAAGCCGTGGGCAGCAATTTAGACTGTGTGGTCCCCTTGAATTTTCTATGTAATTTCTTTTAGGAGTCTACAACAAACCCATACTGTTGCCACTACAAGACCCTGTTGTGACTGTAGGAATGACTGTGACACTTTCTTGTACCTCAAATCATTCATACAACTGGTTCATTGTAACTAAGGATGATCAGAAGTTCTTGCGCAGTGAGCGTTCACAAGATAAAGACACTGGGTTATTTTTTGCCAAGTTCCAAGTGACACCAATGGCCTTCAGCCAAAGGTGGAGGTTCAGATGCTATGGCTCTTACAGAAGTAATCCTCAGGTGTGGTCAGAAGGGAGTGACCTTTTGGAACTTCTGATCTCAGGTGAGGGTACCTCAGGGTCTCTGTAGAATGATATACTACTAGATACAGGATCCCAGTTTAGATCATGGTGTGTCATGTGTTTGAGGACTCAGGGTTCCTGAGTCAGTTGACACAGTATGCAGACCATGAGAGTCACTGTATAGAAAATGAGGGGACAGCATAGTAAGAATGGAACCTGGGAGGGTCAGGAGAATGATGTGTCTTCACATGACATTATTGGTTCTTTTTCTACTCAGGGGTAAAGTTCAAGATCAGGAGCAAGTTTGATCTTTACTCTGAAACTGTTTGATTGACCCCACATCCTTTTCTTCTACTTCCTTGTAGGAAAACTTAAGAAACCCACTTTGAGGGCTGAGCCGGGATCTGTGATTGCCTCAGGGAATAGTGTGACAATCGTGTGTGAGGGGACCAAGGGAAAGCAAGCAATGTATTTTCTCTATAAAGAAGGAAACCCAGCACCCTGGGACAGTCAAACCCCAAAAGATCCTGGTAACAAGGCCATGTTCTCAATAGCATCCATGGAACAGCATCATGCAGGAAAATATCGCTGTTACTCTTACAACTCTTCTGGCTGGACAGAGCGCAGTGATCCCCTGGAGCTGGTGGTGACAGGTGAGAGGACACTAAGTGTTACAATCTTTGCCTCTGTCCTCAGGAAATAATCTTCCATAGGTGTGCTTCCTCAGCTTTTCTGCTGGATACATTATGGGCTGTCTTTCATTAAACAGGCTGCCTCTTCCTCTCCTAGGTGTTCACCATGGTAAACCTACTCTGTCAGCTTTGCCCAGCCCTGTGGTGACCCCAGGTGGGAATGNTTACAATCTTTGCCTCTGTCCTCAGGAAATAATCTTCCATAGGTGTGCTTCCTCAGCTTTTCTGCTGGATACATTATGGGCTGTCTTTCATTAAACAGGCTGCCTCTTCCTCTCCTAGGTGTTCACCATGGTAAACCTACTCTGTCAGCTTTGCCCAGCCCTGTGGTGACCCCAGGTGGGAATGTGACCCTTAAGTGTGTCTCATCTAAAGGATATGATTGGTTCATTTTGACTGGAGCAGATCAAAATTTCTCCAGGTCCCTAAAGGCACAGCTTACACACACTGGACAGTCCCTAGCTCTGTTTCCTGAGATCACCACGGCATCCAGCAAGAGTGGGCCCTTCAGATGTTATGGATACTATACAAATACCTCACTTTTTTGGTCAGAGGCCAGTGAACCTTTGGAGATACATGTCTCAGGTGAGGAAGTCTCATTTAGTCAACTGTTTGGCACCAGAAACCCTTTCTCATACATTGTGCTGCCTCAAGGACAGTTTAAAGCCATGATGGCTAAAGGAAACTGTTGAATGCTTATGGCCATGGCACTGTCAGGGCAGGATGGGATGTGGAATGTATAGAAAGATACAGTTGTATGGCTTCCTGAGTCTCCTGCTCTTAGGACTGTCAAAGAATCACTCCCTACCAACCTTCAAATGCCCTGACCTGGATTTTGGAGAGAACCAGATCCTCAAGTATTCCTCTGAGATAAGTTATTACAGATTTGCTTTGTTCACAAAGGGGGAAAGTAGCCTCACCCAGGTCTCTGTCCATTCGTCTCAGGATGGACATTTTCATGACAATTTTACATTAGGCTCTGTGAATTCCTCCATTGGTGTTCAGTATAGATGCCTTGTTGCATGCAGTTCCTCCTCTGAGTGGTGAGACCTCAGTGATCTTATGGACATCCTGATCACAGGTGAGGATGTTAGTGCAGGTTTAGCAGGGAGGAGACCTGGGAGTCATCATTAAGTTGATGATGAACATGTCACAGAGGAATAGGTCTAAGGACAAGGCAGTGCCTTGTCTATTAAAATATAGAGAGACTAAGTTCTGAAAGGGGGACTCAGAACAATCCCTGCAGTCCTTCACTCACTAATTTTCTTCTCTTTAGGGTACCCTGCTGTTGCACCAAATCTCTCTATGCATTCAGGCACTACTGTTTCCTTAGGAGAGAATGTGACCCTGCAGTGTCAATCATCAGTCCTAGTGGATACTTTCCTTCTGTTCAAGGAAGGTGCAGCCCATCCCTATTTGCATCAAAAATCACAGTCTCAAAATCAGTCAGAATTCTCCATGAGTGCTGTGAATTCAGCTCTTAAGGTTTCCTATGTACGCTTTGGTTCCCAAAGCTCACCCCCTTGCCTGTTGTCACACCCCAGTGTCCCTTTGGAGATCATAGTTTCAGGTGAGATGACCCAGACCTCTTTGAGCTCAATTAAGACAGGATAATTGACCTAGGAATTGACCTAGAGATTTAGAAGTAAACGGTTCTTTCTTAATTAATCATCATCTCTCCTTCTGCATGGGAGTCCAGAAGATTCCTGGTAGGAATTCTCATTTACTCAACTGTGTTGCACCAGAAACCCTTTCTATAACTGTTAACTAAGAATCATAATCTTTGCCTTTTAGGAGTCTACAACAACCCATACTGCTGACACTGTAAAACTGTGTTGTAACCTTAGGAGTGTAAATTGCATGGTTCCATGTAAACTTATTCATTTGCCTGTATAATATTATTTTGTTATGTTCACATGCATTTATAATTGCAGAAATCTATGCAATTTTATATGGTTATATATATATTATGTAACTTAGTAATATATGAGTGTTCCATTTCAATCATTTCTACCTTTTCCATTCTTCCTCTCACTCTTTCTGTGTTTTTCACACCCTTTTAAAATTTAAGTTTACCTCTGATTTTAATTGTTATTGTTATACAAAACACACACACGAACACATAAATGCACATCATATAGCCTAGCTTGAGTTTCTTTTGAGTCTTCCATTTTCTAGCCTTGTCTCCAAATGGTTTTATCTGAAGACTTCACAGATTCACCATGTGGATTCTCTCCACTTCCTGTTGTCCACTTGTTGCTATCTGATTTTGTTAGTTTGATCTTACCCCAGGATAAACAGAGGAACAGGAGACTATAGAATTCTGGTGGCCATTATGTTGGTCATATTTAGGAAACCATACTTTAGAAATTTCACGTGTGTATCTTCCCTCTCTTGCCTAGAAGTCTCTATTGTGTAGCAGTAATCATGTTCCTCTGGCTGTTGTAACCTTTTTACCTCTCCTCCTCAATGTTCCCTATGTTTTATATACACAGTTTGTGTTGTAGGAGTACCCATTTGGACTGGGCACACCAAACCATCTTATTTCTGTTTTGACCAGTTGTAAATTTTTATAATCATCCTCATCTGTAGAAAAATATAGATCTTTGATGAGGGGACAGAGCTAAACTTACCTGTGGATATAAGGATAAGCACTTGGAATGAAGTCCGAAATCACATTGGTTTAGGAATATGACAGTATTGGTTTCTAATCTAGAGTCCATAACCTCTACAGACACAGGTTTAAGTAATATATTTTACATCCATGTTGGTGTCCAATTCTTTGATGATTTAGCTTACCTACTAATGAGATCATATCTACTTCATGGACATTGTGAGCACATCTTTAAGTTCTTGTGATCTCATTGTTTGTACTACTAATGCTGCGATGATTATAGAATGA